TCAAATTTAATTCTAATCATTATTAGATTGGTTATAATTTGCATTTTATTTTTTCATTAAATTAATTAATTAATTAATTAATTAAAATGAAATAAAACTTTTCATTTTCAATTATGGTATAATAATAGTAATTGTGGTTATATTTTTTCGTTAATTTTTTAATAAAATTAATTAAAGCTTTTTAATAAAAATGAAAAAAATGATTAAGAAATGGAAAAATGTTTAATAAAAATTTGAAATAATTAATTAGTAGTTAACATTCTTGGATAAATTTCAATTTTGAATGTATGAGGTTAAATTTTAACAATGTATAAAATTTTAATTAATTTAGTAAATTCTCGATTTTATATATTCAATTTTTACTTAAACCAAAACAATTTTACATAAATTCTCAATTTTGACAACTTTGCTAGACATTCTAGATAAAATACAATACAAATTAAATAAAAAGTAAGAATTAACTTACACACAATTTTTACATATATTATTTATAAAAAATTCAACAATTTAAAATTAAGAGTTGAAATTATCAAGATTTTGTATAAATAATACATATAAAAGTAGCGTAGAAGTCAATCTTAACTTTTAAACAAATGACAAATTTTGTTATCACTAACTCTACATCAAAGATTAATGTCTAGGAAAAATGGTAAATGTCGTTTGAAGCAGGGTAAGCAGAAGCAAGAAAGCTGCAGCAAGAAAGGAGATGAGCGCCCATGGAGTGTTGAAATAGTTGTGCCTTAAGCTTGCAATCCTTTTGTTCCAAAGTGCATTGTAATGCTCATTGACATCATTACATATCTGGGCATAGAATTTCATGGAGACCCCGACATTATCTCCGATCCTATTAAACATGGTCGCAACAGCCTCATCATTGCCTAACCAATTTTCAATTATTCCACAGTGACAAAGCAACTCCACATCTTTTCCTGAATTAATCAAGCAATCCATAAACGTGGTAAATTCAGTTAAGTATTTTGGATCTTCTTTCTCAAATTGTTCACAGACAATGACATTGCGATACAACCTCTCTGTGGAATCGTCAATTCTTATCATAGGAATCTCGAGTACCCCATTTCTAAACATTATGTCAAACAAGGTATTTCCTTCACCCTTCTTGAACCGAATTCCAGCCTCTTTAAGCTCTGTAGCAGAACGTATAAATGACCACTTGCCATCTTTTGGTGCTCGCGAGTGATCCTCCACTACTCTTGAAGGAAGCCAATTCCCACGTACCAAGTCTAGTAAATGCTTGACACTTTTAATTGAATTATAGTCATACACAGCATCAACTCTTAGTCCCGGCATCGTGACAGCGAAGAGTTGTAGAAGACACTTAACATAAAAGTTTCTCTCATTTCCCCTCATTATACCAAACAGCTCCCAAAGCACAAAGAAAGGAAGTTGGTTCTCAAATAGAATCAAATCATGGAAAATCCTGTCGAGATTAGCCGCCACTCTAAAGACATACTCATCTTTGTTACCATGAAAAAATTGGTGAATAAACTCAACAATAAAGCATCCATCAAGCACCAACATTTCTAGGAAGTCCTCTGTGCTAATACTTGAAGGTTCTGAATAACAGTTACGGGCTTTTTCGACCATACCTCTCAGTGCTGCTACAAATGGTTCCGCAGTATGCCCATTTGTTCGGCCAAGAAGCATTCCTAAGAACCGAACCTTGTGCACTTCCATCATCTTCAAGTGATTGTTGCCACGATGATAAGGACCAATTGAGATGATTTCTGGTTCATAGGCTTTTTCATTCACCTCATATATTCGGCGAGGCACTTTAAAAATGGTATGCTCCGAAAATGTTGAAGAAAGTGCTTGCAGCTTCCCCTCTATGCGAGTGCAAACCTCGGTACTTATTTCATCTGCCATTATTACCTGTATATAGAAAAACAGAAA